AAAATACATTGAGCAAGACGTCTCGACAAAGCCCCATCTCCTCGTGGCCTACGTATGGATCATGTACCAAGCCCTGTTCAACGGCGGACACTTCATCCGCGCGCAGCTCCTCAAAGCTGGCCCCGAATTCTGGGGTTTATCCGCCCAAGAGGCGGACCTCACTGCCTTGCCGCCACCTCTGTCCTTCTGGCGCGTCCAAGAGGCTGAGCTTGTCAGGGCCCGGTTCAGAGATTGCGTCGTGGCGGCGGACAGACTGCTGACCGAACCCGAGAGACGAGAGATTCTTGACGAAGCACTGGAGATTTTCAGGCGCTGCGAACTTATTACACTCCAGCTCGACGAGGATGCTGCAAGGGGGGCAGCCTACGAGCCAAGTTGATCACCTGCCTCCATCCTCGGGGGAGACTCCAACCCGGTTCGTGTCTGTGGCACCGCAAGAGGCGGGAAAGTGTGGTTCAAAACGTGTACAGCTGCGTCTAGGAAAAAGAAGAAATTGCAGGCCTCCGATGGAATTAGTAATGTGCGGTCCCTCGTATCACCGAGAACTCCAGGAAGCAACCGGGTGTTGACAATCGGGACTGGGACATGGCGTAACCGTGGCTTGAGTCGATTCAAGCTCGCTCCAGTCATAGAAGAGAAGAGAGAGAAAGAAACAAACAGTAAAGGCACATTCCGTGGCGAAACAGGGCCCGGGCCGCTGGTTAGTGGCCACCAAAATACTACTAATGCTGACACAAGCAGGCGTGTAAGCAGGTCTGTGTGGTTACCCAGCCAACCTGGATGAAGATTGTATACTTTCTCGAGAAGAAATCATTTCCGTGCAACATGCCGTGTACTACCGCTGTCGCTGGGCGTAGCTCGAAAGACGGGTTGGTCGAGTTCGCCGACGACACGGTTACATTGGAAGCAAGGTTCCCAGTCTTGCTGCCCCGAGGCATGGAATACATAGTTTGTACTCCAGTGTGATATCTGACTTGTCATGTATTGATTCGCCGTAGTAAATCATCGTATAGCGCGCGGTAGCCAGGTACATTCGCTGTTAGCAAGCCGTGCCAACGACAATTATTTTCGTGGGCAGCTGACGCAGGTATTCTACCCTGTTAAATGGCATGTCTGTAAAAGTGTAAGTGTTACTAAAGCGCCAAATACTTTGAAATTGCTGGGCGGATAGCAATCCGTAGTGAGGGATGATGCCAGGGCCGTCGACCAATCGTCAAAGTCCAGCCTTTAGACATGTAAGCATATATGCCTTGGCTGTGATGCTAAACGCAAAATCTAGTTGCAAGCATGCTGAAAGTGCTGCATAACACTTGACGCATAATTATGGCCAGGCGCTTACCCATTTCTAGTAGGACCTATGTACACATAAAATTTGATTGTAGATGGAACCCACCTAGACATCAGCCAGAACCCCCTGCTCACGATGTATCAAGCTAGCAGGGGCCGCGTAAATGCATAAAGCTTCAATGCCAAGTTTTCAGTCAATTCTGCCCTGAATTTACCCTCCAAAAGTTCGCCGCAAAGCTTAAATGCCAAGTTTTCGGTTAATTCTGCCTTGAATTTACCCTCCAAAAGTCTGTCGCTCAATCGTGCTTGCTAAACCAGTATACCAGGAAGCTTACTGATTCTTATAAAAAAATCAACCAGGGGGAGACGATACAAGAGAAAATCCCTACCATAATATAGTGATAAGTCCCTTTGTCAGTCTGCTCGCAGTCAGTCCCTCCGTTTAGGATCAGGGCCATGGCATGATGGTCACATTGCAGGCCATCAGAGCTAGCACTCATTCCCAGAGTGCCAGTTTGGCCGTCCAGCCCATCATGAGAGCAACTTGGGCAGAATAAAAAGTCCCCTTGTACTCGTGATGTTCTGAAAAACCCTACCCTATACTTTTTGACTACCTAGGTCGTCTCGGCAATTCAGACTCTTCTGCTGTACTCAAGATGGCTTTGTAAGGCGCTTCGCCTGTGATTATATCGGCAAGGAGCTTGGCTCTACAAAGAGGCAAAATTGAATGCTTCATCTCGGAATGACTACCTTTGCGAATCGCAACGCCTTGGGCGCAGTTTTGGTTCACTCCCCTCGAAACATGGAGGTCAATCTTTGAAATTCAGCCCTCACAATAAGGACATCTACTCTTGGGCTTTTCAGCAATTTCGCACGTGTATCGTGAATGATGGAGAACAAATCCCCAGGGCAGTGCAAAGCACGTATAAACCCACGTCCGAGTCCGTTGATATGCTAGACAAGGCCAAGTATAAAGGTAAACTTTTGAATTGAAACTATCTACAAGACATGTAAAATGTGGAAAAGAAATTCTAAAAACCCCATTCCTCGACTGAAAAATGTACCCCAAATCCCAGTCAACTCTCCGCTTGGCAAATTAACTGTCAAGCCAAGTATCTAAAGCACGGGGTCCGTCGCCGTCTGGTCCCGTCCGGTCAACATGAACTATTTCCAGCCGTCGACACCCGTATCCCCAACCACCCTTTTAACCATTGAGCTTCTCCTCGCCGGGGAGCACAGTCCCATTCGTGACGGCAGCCTGGTGGCCGCGCGCAATGTAGGCCCAGACGGGGAAGTACTTGTCAAAGTAGGGAATCATCTCCTTGGCACCAGGGGTGTGGCGCCAGTCGCGCATGAGGTCGCACGCAATGGAGAAGAGGCTGACGACGTGGACGCCGGCCTGGGTCATGCGGTCGTTGGAGATGTCGCGGACGAGGGCCGACGTGGTGCCCGAGGCCTCGGCGTTGGCCCAGACGGAGTAGCCGGCCTCGCGGAGCGACAGGGCCAGGAAGGACGTGCACACGTCCGTGGTGACGCCCGCCAGGATGATTTGCTTCTTGTTGGCCTTTTGCACGGCGTTGCGGAACTCCTCGTTGTCCCAGGCGTTGACTTCGCCGCCGCGCAGGATGAGCGGTGCGTTGGGGTGCATTTCGAGGATCTCGCGGGGCAGAGGGCCGTTGGGTCCTGCCGAGGCATTAGATATCTTGCTTTTGCTGGGACGATCTGCTTGATGGGGAGGGGGGAGGGGGAGAGATGCAGTCTTGACATACCCTCTTGGGTGGACGTGGTCAGGACGACGGGAATGTCAAAGACCTTGCCTAGGGCCGCGTGGGCGAGGACCTGGTCGCGGAACAGGTTCGGGTCAAAGTCCCGGGCGGTGTTGTACAAGCCGACTTGGTGGTCGACGACGAGGAGCATCTGCTGGCGGTTAGATGTGCATCCGAGGGGAGAGCGGCGAGTCTACCCACCGAGTTGTTCTTCTCGAGGCGCTCAAAGCGAAACTCTGCGATGGTGTTAGATTGCATGGATTCCGGGATTGGTATTTTTTGGCTCGACTTACTGTCGTCGGTTGCAGCAGCGACGGCCGCAAGTCCGGCCAGGGCAAGCGAGAGCATCTTCATGATGAAAGAGTGTTGTGAAGAGGAGATGGGGTGTGAAAGAGTGTAGATGACTAGGCTGATGTGCAAGCTGCTTGGAGAGTCGAAGTTGATTTGAATTCCATTCCAAGTCCCGTCTGCGTCTGGTTTATATACATGTTGAAGCCGTAAACAAGACGCATGTTGATGTTTATCGAGCTGTAAGACGGCGCTCGTCCCATCTCCACAAGCGCCTCATGTAATACTTAGCACACGCTTATCCGCTGCTTATGGACGTTTAAACCCTTGGTCGGGGTTCCACCGCGACCACATACATATGCGGAGTCAGTGGCATGCATATCGACGGCCCATGCGATTGATGCAGAAATTTACAAGAGCGGCGGCGCAGAGGAGGCCTGCTGGTGCATGTGGATATATGGCCCCCCGTTAGCGGCAGAGCTGGCTCAAGAAGAAGCATCTGTCAGCAATTGATCATGATGAACGCGTTCTGGATCCCTGCGCGGCGCTGTTTGCTTTCTCCGAGACCACGGATACGGGAAGTGGGCTTCCATCAAATGGGACCAGCCTTGCGTCCCGCGCTGATCCCGGTACACTCTACAGAGCATGTATATGTGGGCTGGCATTAATAAACAATTGACATTGATTCAAGGCCCGACGGAACCTCGGCCAACCCAGAGTCTGCAGACATGGACGCGGCGGAAGCAGGCAGTGCTCGCGCCGGACATGCTATGCTCGCGGCGGTCGAGTCAATTGCAAACGGCCCAGGTGCCGTGACATCGGCCATTACGAGGGCGCCAAGAGCGTCCTTTGCCAGCTAGCAGCCGTCGATACGATTCATTGCGTGGGGTGGTTAGTGCTGGCTGGAGTACCATCGGTGCCTCCCGGACTTCGCGAAGCATTCCAGAGTCCAGACAACCCACGTGGGTGGCGCCGGCGTGGACCAGATCGCTGGCCTATCGGAGCCGCATTGCTGCCCGCTTGGCCTCTTCCGGCCCTTTGGTCCGTGATGCGAGGGTGCTTTGGTGGAGAGGGGGAAAAGCAAGCGACTGCGATGTGATGAACCCATCATGCTATACTCTGGAGTAGTCATACAGGCGAGCGGGCAGCATGGGCCCGCATGTCATCATTACCAATGGACAAGAAGGCGTTGACAGAGCAGGATGCAAGAATCCGCGGTGTCTTCGGAAATAGTGATGGGCGGCTGGGGTCGCTCATGTCCCATGGCGGTGGTTCGGCGTCGATTCCAACTACTCACCATCTACTCCCAAGTTGACGTCTTGGCTGTACCCTCGCAGCGTTATATGCTTGATTGTGTGTAACTACTAGTAGTCAAGTTTGCGTCTTTAGAATCTTCTCCCTGTCCCACAACTCGCACAGACAACTGGTCCGAGACCAAGAGAGGCTGACAGTCGGCAATGACGTGAAATAGGGCCGGGCAGCAAACATGGCATCTTTCGGCCAACAAACATTACGCACTAGTGAATCCCAAAAGGCCATGGCGGTTGGGCAGACAGACCACCGAGCAGAAGCGCCATGTTTTGCGCCCTACCCATAACGTCAACATGACTACATGAACTTGTTCTATTAGGTCTGGCATGACTCGCCCCAACGCGCCGTCTAGCACGCGGCTATAGCCCTCAAGAAGGCTCTGCTCTCGTTCCCCTGCCTCACCTTGGCCAGAGGCACCAGGTGATGCGCGGCATCAGGATCGCCGCTCTGAAGATGGCGAATGTACGCCTGCGCAACAGACAGCCACGCCGCCTTTTCTCTCCGGCTCGCACCAGCGCCCTCCCACACCCAGACGCCCCTGCCGCCATCATCAAGCAGGAACACGTCGTTGCCGTCGAGGTCCCCCAGCGAGATGCGGCCGCCGTCCCTGACCAGATCAAAGGTCAGCCGGCCGCTGGCATCGCTGAGACGGAACAGCCTCGCCGAACGGTCGGCAGCCTCGCCGGCCCAGGACGCCGTGCCCATCGGGCGGCGTTGGCTGAAGCCGTCCCGGGGCGCGTCGTCACCCCCGCCGAGGAGGGGCGCGTCGTCACCGCCGCCGAGGAGGTCCGTCACGCGGCGGGATCGCGACTCGGCCTGCGCAACGACCTCGACGTCAATGTGCTTCGCGAGCGTCATGTCGTGGACGACCTGGGCGGCCTTGGCCTTTTCCGCGGGGCTGCGGCGCCGGCCCTGCCAGACCCAGATCTTGTCGCCGACGTCGAGGACGAAGACGTCGCCGTCGTCCAGGCTGGCGACGGCGGGCTCGACCTCGTGCACCACGACGCCGCCGCCAGACGCAGAAGGGCCCTTGAAGACGCGCAGCAGCGTGCGGACGGGCGCGCGGCCGGTCTGCGGCTCGACGTGGCGGAAGCCGGTGCGCACGCCGCCCGACCGGATGGTGAGGCGCGGGAACAGCGAGAGGAACTCGTCCGACGGCGCGGTCTGCACCTCGCGGTGCTGCGTGGCGGCGCCGGAGAGGAACTCGTCCAGCTCGACCGTCTTGTAGGCGGCGGTGCACCGTCTTGTAGGCGGCGGTGCCGGCCTCGTCCTGCGTCGTGTGGCTGCCCAGCCAGAAGAAGATGTCGTGGCCGAGCTTGGCCGCCGACGCCTTGCCGAGCGCGTACGAGTGCAGCACGATGAAGCTGTCGCCGTCGTAGAACTGGCCGTACTGGTCTTCGGGCCAGGGCACGACCTGGAACTGCTCGATGCGCCAGACGCGCAGGCCGGGCTTGGTGCCGACGGCGCCGTCGTTCCAGGCCGGCTCCGTCGCGGCCGACTTGTGTTTGACGCGGTGGTCAATGTCGGTCCCGATGAGCTCGACGTTGCTGTCCTTGATGTCGTACTCTTTGGCGTGGACTAGGCCGTGGTTGGGAGGCATTTTCTGGTTGACGCTTGGCGGGCCTTGGCTCGCGAATTGGTGATTGGTTCAATGTTGCTCAAGTTCAATGGTGTTGATGCAAGGAGCAGAGTCCTCGCCGGGGGGTCACGGCCACGAGTCCAGGACGCTGGTGCCTCGTTTCAGGGGCACGGTGGCTGAGAGTTACGTCAGAGGAGGGGGCAGGACGGGGTCCGGGGGGTTCGGCCGAGTCAATGATGGATCAATTGATGCTATTGGCGCTGTCGATCCGTCGCAACTATCGACATGGAGACAGGATGAAGATTCACGACAATTGCCAGCCCGAAGCCGCCTCGACAGCCCACGCATCACCATGACACCAGACAGCTTCCCAAAATTTGTGTCCGCCTTGATCATCTCATCATGACGGACAAAGCTCATGACAAGACAATTGCTGAAACAGCCGCCAGGATCAACTCGTGGCCTGGCTGGCGGTGTACTTGCCACTTGGCAATGTGTGGTCTGACACATTCATGCCATGTTCGTCTCGCTGGCACCGCTTCTATGGACGAGTCCCTTACTTGGGCATGTTTGGCCTCTTCAAAATCTGACCACCAGGTACCATGCATCAACTCCTTGATCGGATTCGTTGCCGAATCCACTCTCGGGAACAGCCACTTGCATGTATAAGACGGAACTCAGACATGGACGCCGTCACAAAACTCTCATATTCCTACGCAAAGCAGTCTCAGACTTTGGCATTTGCCTCTCCAGAATCGTCTCGTCGTACATTCCTAGACAGCTCGGCATGCCCGCACAATCCATCTCATCTCTCACTGTGGAAATCGACACGCCCGGTCCTGCTACAGCCACCCATGGTTGTGCATCACAAAATGGACCAGAGGTGCAAGACAAGTCAAGGAGGTTTGTGTATATATCGTGTACATGCAAAAAAACATGGCAAATGCTAAAACATGGACTCCCCCGTGCAGCCAATCTACAGCCCTCGGCCACAAGATCATGGTGCAAGCGTCTTATGCGCGGGACGTGATGCTCGATCGATACATCTACGAGACCAGGAAGACCGAATTGCACATCAATGAAATTCTCATGGTGAAAAACACAAATATTTGAGACTGGACCAGAAAGGCGGGAGGCAGAATGACGGGCACGTCATGAATATAGTGTCACTGGTGCTTGTAGTTGGATCAAATTCTAGGGGCGTATGAGCGGGCAGCAAGCTAGTCGCTAAACCTGGACGGTGTACGTCCAAAAATTGCGAGAGCAGCCTAGACGTTGAATACAGTAGATGCTTGCGGGTTGAAGAATCGTGCCACCTCTTCGTTGATGGTCATACTGTGCGCTCTTTGTATCCCACGATGCAATAGCACGTCTTAGCCTTGTCAAGCGTCACGACGAAGCTGTCCTGGGCCTCGTATACAAGTCTGCATGCTTGACGAATTTTGCCTCGTTTTACTCGCGAGTAGTCGTTGCAGACGTGGGAGAATCACAAAAGACTCGTCAAGTACAGCCGGGTGTCTGGTTGAATACAAAACAATCACGACTAGACGCGTCCGGTCCGCGCTCATGTGTCGACGGAATATAAGGGGCTAGATGTAGTTGCAAGTAGAGCGCGTTCCTTTTTCTGACATTATGCCCGGTGTACATTTGGCAGCCGAGCCAAGGCATCAATCGGTCGACTGGTCATCGGCCCTTGCCGCTACACAACGTTTATTATTAAAAACAGACTCTCGCCTCTGCTCCGTCTGTTGGCTTGTTTTTTTATATTCCCCCCTCATGTCAAAGAATAATACAAGCACAATGCAAGTATCGTGCAGGCCCAACATCTGCATCTGGTAATACAGTATTAGGCCGTACGAAGCCGAGAAGAGCAAGAGACCAAAAAATAAACCCTATATTTGCATTATTTTTTTCTTTTTTTTCAAATGTCTTTTACCTAGATTAATCATGAGATGTCTCCTGAACACCCCGAGAACCCGGGAAACTTGAGGCTTGCTGATATCCTGCTACACTTGACAATCTATTCTCCCATGGCTCTCTTAATGCTCTCAGTAGCGGCTGAGTCGACCGGCGACCGGCTGCTTACTTTCGGCATGGACCAGTTGACGTTTCTATACGCCCAATGCCCCCCTGACCGCAGCCAACAACTCTCCATTGAAATCTCCCGCAATCTCCCACGCCATGGTCCCAGCCAAGCCCTTGGACAGCGCAAACTTGACCTTGGCATCCAGACTCTCGGGATCATCATACGTAAGGTACGTCTTGGTCTCGGGATTGAATAGCCAAGGAGTCATTGTGATGCTATCAAAGGTCCTCACCCAGGGGGGGCTCGGCGTAGTGGGCGCCGTCAGCACGCCTTGTCCCCGGAGACTGGCGTACCTCCACGTCCCAGACCAGGCCTCCTCCGTCGAGTTGACGCTGACTGCCGAGTTGGGAGGGCACGTCTCGGGCTTGAGCTCATCCAGGTCATCGCCCTTGGGGACTTGCTTGGAAAAGTTGGCGTACTGGGTGACGGGGTCCTGCGCCAGCATGTCCACGTCCGTGGTCACGGAGCGGCCGTAAAAGGCGAGGCCGCTGGTGAGCTTGTCGGCCGGCCAGCCCGCCTTGGTCCATGCCTCAATCGCCGTGGCGAATGAACGCTGTGTTGCCTTGCCCGGTTCAAAGTTGAGAGGGGCATTGGGGCCGGTTATATTTCCCCATGCGCCATTCATGTCGTACTGCATTAAGTTGGTAAAGTTGACAAAGTTGGCGAACTTGGACACGTCCTCTCCGCCGGGTCCGGCAAAGGGCCGGTTAAGCACGGCGAGCGTAATCAGCTTGTCTCCCCCGAGGCCATTGACCTTGGATCGCATCAGGTCCAGAAAGGCCAGAAAGTTATTTGTGTCGTTTTGCTCATCGAAGAAGTTGCAGGGACTTCCTGCTTGGCCTGGGTACTCCCAGTCAAAGTCGATGCCGTCTAGGTTGTGCTTCTTCATCAGCTCAATGACGTTGTTGGCAAAGGTCTCTCTCATCCCTTCCGTGGTGATGTTGGAAAAGAAGGCCGAGCCGGTCCACCCGCCGACGGAAACAAGGACCTTGGAGCCCTTCTCCTGGAGTTTGGGAACAATCTCGGGCATGTTCTCCTCGCCCTCGAGTGCCAGATTTGCCTTTTCATCGGGCAGCGCAAAGGCGATGTTGATGTGGGTGTAGCCGGACAAGTCTAGATCTTTAAGAACGGTGTGCCTCCAGGTCGGATAGTACCCTACGATGATGGGAGGCGCAGCGAGCGCAGGAGCGAGGTGGCTCAGCACCGCTGCCAGAAGAATGGGATTGAATTGCATAGTGCCGGGATGTGGTGACGATGCGGGATGTGGTGACGATGAAGGATGGTGGTTTGGTTCGAATCTCGACCGCCATCAAGAGGAGGCCGTATGCCTGGACTTTATAGACATTTCCATCTCGCCTCAACATGGCTCAACTAGCTCTCGGCAATTGCATTTCGGCAGTTGCATTGGCCATTGTGCCTGTCCCCTACTGAGTCAACGTCACGCATAAACGTCTTGAATGTACGGCCAAGTACGGAGTCGAAGTGTTTAGTCCACTTAGTAGTTGCCAACGGGTATGTTTCACTGCCAAGTACGAATCTGAAACAATCAAGGTCGGCGTTGCATCAAAGTTATGCCGCCATAGTGACCAGCGCTTGACATCCAAGGAATTCAGACAATATGAAACGAATGGCCAAGGCCGACTTGGCAAAACTACATACGCATACAAATCTGATACAAATTGCGTCTAAAATATATTGTATGTAAATTATGCAGCCGTGAAACCGATACCGCGTCTCCAATCCCCCAAAGCAGGCCACATGCGACGAATTAGTATTTGATTATGTCGGATGACATGGCAAGCTGGTCCAAGTCGCTCATACAAGACGGCAGCAGCTGATTGCCGGACCCTGCAGACTCCGCGTGCTGTGTTTCTCTCCAGACGAAAATGAAACTATTAACAAAAGTGGAGTAAACAGAGACTTGTGAAGCGGGGAAAATGGCACCTGGATATACCGTATTTCATTGGTACTTTCCAGGCGTACTTTCCGATTAACGACCATGATATTCTTCCCAGAACGAACATTGAATCTAGTTCTTCCGGAGAAACATTCTATTAGCTTCACGGCGCATGGCACTTTATGTAGCCTGAGAACTACCCGGCACGATGCATTTCAGCTCAAAGCTTTCGAATGACGCATATAAACAATTTCATGACATGTAGCAGCTATATTGAGTCTCCTTTTTGAATTCATACCGGCGGTAGTATTGCATGGTTAGCGTGGGGGCCGCTTGAAACGTTCATTTTGTTCGAGGTTGACACTCAGCAACTATGTATCAAGTTCGACTCGCCCCGAGCTTGCTTTCCACCATTCTTTAGGCACAGAGGTCAATGACTGTTCTTTGTTCTATGAGGACTACTACCTATTGAATCATTGTACCACGGGATTTTACGATGGACTTGAGTGTTGCGTGCCCCGCGTTTGATGAATCAAAGACATGTTTCGGAAGCTGTTTTACCATCAAAACAGGCCATTTTGGCATCAAACAGAAGCAGTGAGTCACGGACACAAAGTCAGCAAGGTTTGCTTCCATGAACACGGTGACTGAGGCTATCGCGAGATGGCCTTGACTAGCGGGCCTGGCGCTGCATTAAATACGCTGGTACGTCTGACGAGTCACGATGCGTGTACACGGTCTATTTCTCTAGTCGCATTACTGTCCTTGGCCTGGCATAACCTAAGATTATTTTAGATTTTACCCTCGCATGATACTTGTATCATGCTTGTAATTGCATTTAACTACCGAGCGAAACAACACTCCCCGTTAAAACAGAAGCAGTTTTAGCATCAAACGAAAGAAATTATGGGAGGGTCAGAAAAACAAATAGGAAGCGCGCAACCCTCAGAGATGGCCCTCAGAGATAGTAATGCAGCTTTATTAGTGTTATTGCCCAAGATTTACTAAAACTGACTCGTGTCCTACCAAGTGGCACAC